GATGCCCATAGTAAGATGAAGGCAAACACAACGTATAAGTATAAACGCATCGATTTTTGATGGCTGAACGTGTTCGAGTTGATTTTTCACATAAGTTTAACAACATCATCAGCATAATCATATACAAAACGTACGCAGTTGTGACAAAAGCGGTGACAAATGGGGAAAATTTCTTCATTGAAAATGCTATGAAGGAAAAATTTTGTGAACAGATTAAACAAGTACAGCTTTTGAAGTTATGCAAAGCTTATCAAAAACTCGAAGTAGCGATGTTGTGCCCTTTACTCCAAATCTGTGGAGTGCATCTTTATGTTATTGCAAAAATGTAGGAGTCTGCAGTTCTTTGTTCGGGCATATGGTGCAGAATTTCCAATGCCATGATAAAAGAAATCGGTTGTGAAAGAAGGTCCTAGATCGAAAAGTCAGCGTAAACGAATTTACTCTCTATGACCCCAGCATGGCGGACTGAATAGGCGCCGGTGTTTATCGGCCCCGCATTAGGCTTTCTATTGCAATGGGCAGATCGCTCGCAGAATTTCAAGCCGCGGTGCTAAAAACCTCGATCTCATTAAACCTTAAAAAGGGGTTGAAAGGCGCACTTTAGTTGGTAACAAGAAACTTAGTAACTCTGTGCTGCGTGCCAGATCACTGCGGAGTCGAAGGAAACGGAGTCGAAGGAAACGATATCGCCAACTGACTAATAAAAGAAGGCTCCTGGTTTAACCTTGTGGGGCCGGAAACGTTTGCGATATCAGTCGAGACTTGCAGTTACCGAGTGGGTCCATTCAGAACGCAATAAGTGCAGTAGACCGCTAGAGGACCTTAGATAAAGCAGGCTCTTTGAATAACCTTTCGCTAGAACGGACTCAAATATTTTGTATAGATGAAATGTCAGGCTGCTCCGAGGTTACTAACTGGCCGAAATCATCTGCACTTCCCCATGCACTGTATAGGCCTGAACACATAGAAAAATATGTAGTCGTGTTTTGTCTTAACTTAGACTTAGACTTAAATAGTTGAATTTATCCACAGTCGAGCACCGTATTATTCGTCGACCAAGTTGCTGTTAACATTTATTATAAAAGCGAATATTATCTTAGACTGCCAGGGTTTTCCAGCCGGGACTTGGTTATAAATAGGTTTTTTCTAACGGAACTCTAACCGCCGACATATTCAGAATTCGCTATGTAGAACCTTTTGAGACAAGGAATTGGTATATAGAGGCTTTTTGCAACGGTACTTCGATTCCGATGCCTACCAAAAAGTCCTCAAAATATCCCGAAAATTTCTCAAAAAGTTCCGAAAATACCAAAAAATTTAATACGAAGAATCCCGGTAACCTTAGGAAAAAAACTGAAAAACCGCAAACACTCTGAACAATCACGAAAATAATCATAAGAAATTCTTCAAAAGCCTCGATAAAACCAGAAGAACACCGAAAAAATTCAAAAAAAAAAACCAAAAAGTTTCGAAAAGTTGCTAAAAAATTTCAAACGATCTTGACAAAATTTCCCGTAAATTTTGCGAAGAACGAACATTATCTTATCATCTTTTGCAGTATTTTAAATTTGCATAAAATTTTGTAAATTTTTCCATTAAAAAAGTAATGAAAAATTTACGATTAATTACCAGTATCAAAGGCATTCAATTGGATGGAATGAATAGTAGGAAAATTTTACAAACTAAGAAAAAGTAAAAAACAACGAAAAAATTCTCTAACTTTGGAACAAACTGAAGAAACCTATTTTTGCATTTGATAGAAATTAAATTATTGAATTAAGTAAAAACCAACTATCCAATTTTTTTTTTTTTCTTAGCCAAAAATCACAACATCCATTCAATTATCATTTTAGGTCGCCTTAAAAGTGTTATTTCCAAAGTATTTTCATGAGATGTGGTTATGTGCATACATATGTACATTAGACCGTACCAGAAAAACAAGTTCGCTATTAGCCTTCGAATCCAAGGTATTTTTGAAATGCTATTTCGACTTTTTTTCTTTTCGAACGGTTCCCCTTTTTACATTTTTTTTCATATTTTCGGCATTTATAGTCGGTTCTTAAAGTATGGTGTATCGATGTTCTTATCTGTACGCAAGGCGATTCGAGATACAAAATTTTGGCTGAACGTATAGGTCGCCTTTTTACATTTTTCATCATCATATTTTCGGCATTTATAATCAGAGCTTAAAATTATGGTACATCAATATTCTAGTAGGCATTTTTGTCTCAAAGTTCATTGACTTTAAGTACCCCTTTCTATTACTTAGCCACCAAACCTCAGTTCTTATCACCATAATGTACCACCCTAATGTGAATAAATTCAAGCTCACCAAAAATCATTTAAATTTAGCTACGGTAGTATTTTCATTATATCAGTTGAACTATTAAAAATAAATATTTCATTGCCGAAAAGGCGACCCGAGATACAGCCAAAAAAATTAAATAAAATTTCAAATTGCTTTGCAAAAATACTTAAAACTCAGGCCGAACTTTTTTGTGTTCATGTAAGGTGTTACGGTCTAATGTACATATTTACATTCTGACCCAACTGTATGCATGCAACTGATGAAGATTTGTTGACGTAGCTAATATTGAAGGGATGTCAAAGACACTATGAACCTCAAAAGCATGGGTTCAGCAAAGAAGGGGGGAGAATTTCCCACTTGTCGCATATCAGGCATGCCTATTAACTTAAAGCCGAACTAAAATCTTTTATGTAGTATATTTCAGGCTTATCTTGATCGAATAAAAACTGAAAACGCTTGCTTTACAATGGCGTTTTTCAATATTTACACTTAAAAATTAGGTCAGTGGGTAAACAACTTTATTTGTTAGACGGTCGCAGTGGAAAGAGAAGTATGCATACTATGTAAGTATGTATATATATATATATTTACATACATAGTTCATGCTGCATAGTTTTACTACTATTAGCTTCTATTAATTTCTAATTTTTTTGCATAATTTATGGGCAACGCCATTTTCATTATAATATTCATATTCTTCTATATATGTAGTATGTAAATTCTCTACATCATCAGCTTCAACGCGTTTTTTTTTTTAGTCACATTCTAATGAGCTTACAACATCCTCCCATTTCCGCCACATCTTGTCATTTAGCGCTTTTTAGCATTTTGGCGCACACATTCCTTCTTAGGTCCTTTGTTTGCAAACAAAATTTCGCTTCCGCTTTAAGCATACTCGTAGCTCTCAGCGAGCATTGTGCTAAAGTGCGCAGCAAATAGACGCTCATAAATCTGTGCATTTTTTTTTTTTGTAACTTATTAATTTTTGTTTAATTAACTTACGGCGCGTGATTTTCAGCGTAATTGAGGTGAAGAAGTGAAGCAAAATCAAAGTATTTTTATTTGTTTTGCGAGATGCCACTTGTAAGTAAGTTCGTAGTTTTTTGGCTCGTACGAGCAGTTGCAGCAAAAATTAACTAATGAGTTTAGTAAATTAAAACGGAAATTCACTTCTAATAACTGCTTAAGTTAAATTTGCGCAAATGCAGTCAATTAAGATTATTATAAAAAAAAGTTTAGCACAGTATTAGACTGAGTTATGTATATTTATTAGTCTGGCTCAGGATTGAGTGATTTTAATAAGTCAAATCCCAAATCCAAAAAAAAAAACAATTTATTTCTGAATTTAAAGTTTTATTAAATCCTAAATAATATAAACTAATTATTTTTACGACGAATCAAATCCTTAATAAAATGTATGTGTGTGTGTGTTTTGATTCGGACGCGGACTCCGTTAAAGTTAATAATCTTCACTATTGTTTCTTAAACGATACAAATTACCTTAGAATAGACTCCATGACTTACCAATTTAAAATCAGCGTGCAAAAATGCATTGCGTGATATGAAGCAATTAAGCTTTTTTTCCAAATTTAGGCTCTTTTCCTATTTTAAGTAAAACTTAATGGATTAGCGTATGTAACTTTTCGGCTCGTGAGGTACATACGTCTTTCTGTTATCCGATTTTGAAAATAATTGGCGTGAAAATAAGGCGCACACTAATGTGTGTACATGAATACATACCCTGCAGGAAATGTATCTAACTATAAGCTAACTTTAACTTGATTAGGAAGGAGCTAAAAGTCAGTTATTATCTGTATATTTTCTTTGACGAAATCTAACTATATTTCTATGGCAATGGCCGCGAAATAGTCAAGGGTGGTTACCTCTGCATTTGATGTAACTAACTTGTGACTAACTACTCGTGGACATAAAATATCAATACGAAAAACAAAATTATTATTTTTATTACTTTTTTTTGTATATTTTTATTTATTTGCTTTACTTATTTTATTACATATTCGTATTTGTTTACATGTTCTGCTTTAGGTGGTCCCATATTCGAACTCCGTCAGACATAACTTCAAAATGATAATACGAAATTTCGATCTTCCTTTTATTTGTCCTCAATTCGAAAAGGTATTTGTGAAGTGAAGGATATTTAAATAGAAACGAGTTTAAAGAAAACAATCTACTGCATCACTCTTGCATTACTTGTCAACTAGTTTCAAGTTAGATATTTGTAGCTAACTTCAAGTTATATATTTTTTAGAAATCCCGCAAAAAAGGTAACTACAATTGGGTTATTTTTTATCTAATTGATAATATTTTTCTGCAGGGTATGTATGAATACGAAATGAGTTTGCGATTAGAACTTTCATTCAATATATAATTATGAGTGTTTGTTTTTCGTGTATTAAAAGTTCACTACCTCTTCTATAAAAATAAATCGTGACTTTTCCGCGCTTTGCAGATCAGAACTACAAAGCAAAAACTAAATCAACTAAGTCATAAGCAAATAATTAAAATAAACTGTGAGAAAATAAAACCAACAAATTAGCACAGTGTTTGCGCTAATCGCGCTGGGAGCGCCTTCACAGCGCTTAGTAACAAGAGCCGCGCTTACATTCATCAACCGTCAGCTCTGCTAAGACATTTAACAAATAAAACTATGCCACTCCGACACCCGACAAAAATGGCCAAAATGTAACAAATGCAAAAAAAACAATAAAAGAAAAATCAACACAATAGCATCGTTGAAGTGACAACAACAACCACCGAGGCATCATGCATTCCGCTGGCGCAATCCACCACCACCACCACCCACCACCACAAACCTTCAGCGGCGCCTTCAGCAACCCACGCTAGTGGCCGCCACCAAATTGGCCTTTTAAGCAGCTTCATGCGTCGCTTATTAAAACTTTTGATTAGCTGCATTCTCATGCCGGCCATACAACATCACATTCACATTAATTGGTCTCCAATGTCCAACATCTCCAACGTCCAGCATGGTGGTGCATGCATCTGCCATCTCCGTTTCTGTCTCGATGTCCACAACGAATGCAACCAATGTCGCCGGAGTGTCTGTGCGTAGCGCTGACCATGACGTCGGTGTTATGTCTGCTGCAGCGGCTTTGTCCGGCTTGGGTTCACGTGCGCCCGCTTCCTGGTCGGTGGCTGCTTCTCACATGCGCTTGACGCAACGCAACAATCATGCGAATATTTCCGAGTTGCTGGACAATTTATTACGGGCTATGATAATAGCATACGACCGGGATTTGGCGGTAAGTGGAGGCTTTTTTGAAAAAAAAAACGATTATATGAAATGCTTCAAGTTAATTAATTTATTTTGGCGTTTATTTATTTTTTAATCATGCAGAAATTGTCAAAAACGTACTACACCTCGAGTCATAGTTATAGGCGCCCCACACAATGACAAGTTTAAGGAGATTATTTTTTGTTATTTAATATTAGGTATTTTTTTATAAAAACATAGTTTATTTTTTAACAAAACATATATAAATCCAGTTTTCTAACTTCGTAAAATGTTTAAACAATATTCAAAACAAAAATTCATTTTAACTAGAAAGGTTTTACGTATGCCGCATTGTAGCCCATCAATTTTTATATCACTAAGTGCAAGTGTTGATTTTTGGAACCATTTTTTTGTTGAAGGTGTTGCTCATTTTCTTCCATACGAAAAAATCATCAAACATACTTTGTAGGGACGAAAATGCTAAATCTTTCTAAGAAATCCTATTAAAAAGCTCGAAATTTTTTTTTGTTTTTCTTTTTTTTAATATTGCACAAAGTTTGCACTGGATTTATGCGGTTTTTTTTTGGGTAAACTATGGCCCGTGTTTATAAATATTTAAAATAAAGTCGACTCTAAAGTTAAAGGTACATTTTTTATCAGATATACCATTGAATACAACAACAACATTGTTGCTGCCAGCGAATGAAAAGCAAAAAGTTCTTTAAAATTTATTTCGTCGTCAGATCCTTTGAGAACTACAAGAACTTCTTTGCGGACATATCACTTACGTTAGGTTATCTAAGACGGCTTATAATATCTTGTGCGTTGAGGGTATGAATCTTAATCGATTTTCTAATTAATTTTGCTACTAATATTATCGATTTCGCTATCGAAATTTTAATCGAATTTGTCATCGATATTTTATCGATTATTTATCAATTTTGTTATCAATTATTTATAGAATTTTTTCGATATTTTTATCGATAGTTTTATCGATTTTCCAATCGATTATTTATCGGGTTTGTTAGCGATATTTTAATCGATTTTGCTACCAATATTATAATCGATTTTGCTATCGAAATTTTTATCGAATTTGTCATCGATTTTGTTATCGATACTTTTATCGGTTTTGTTATCGATATTTTGGATGTTACTATCGATTTCGTTAGCGATAGAGTATAAAGATAAAAATTATGATAAATGTAAACGGAATAACATAAATGTATGTAATTAGAACGAACAGGGGTAGAGGTTNTAAGCAAAAGCAGATGTATGTATGTATGTACATATGTATATATATTGGTTGTGAGACAAAATAGATATGTAACGTAAGTTTCACTTCTCCAGTGTGGCCCAGGTTCACTTACTTTTTTTTACAGGCTTTTCAAATGATTGCGTGCTGATGCTCTGCATAGCGTTTTGTCATACATAAATACTAAGTCTAGGCAGCCAACTGCTTAGCCGAGTTCCCGTAATCAAATAAAAATTGAGTCGTTAAATTCCAATAGGACATTCAAAGGCTCAAAGGAATTTGCATCACCCAATGGCCACCTTAACTGCGCTGCATCCATTAATTAACAATGGAAAATAGCCTAAGCGTACTTAAGTATACAAAATGTTTTTGTCTAATACTAAGTTAAATTCTATAAATACATAAACCAGAAACGATTATTATTAGAAAAGGGAGCAAAAACATTTAGCTTTGAGTTAATCAAATAAAGTGCTGCTACGCATTTCTATTTCCATGCAGCATCATACTTTGAATACTTTTAAAAAGCTTCTGAATTATGAAAGGCAATGTATGTAAGTAGCAAGGGCAACTTAATAAAAAATGAGCCAAGCATTTGATTAAACAAATCATTGGTAGCAAATAGTTGGGGTAACCACCGTCATGTCCTTTGACACTCAAGTAATTGGCGTATAATTTGTCAAGAGCAAAACGCTTCAGCAGAATTGAAGAATTTTTAAAGCAATGCATACTCAAATATTCGCTATGTGCTATTGCACTGGAGACCATAGGCGTAAATCGGCAACATTGGTGGGGGCATTCATGAGTGTGTGAATGGAGAAAATAAGCTGCTAAATGCCTAGGATTTTAGCAAATGACAAACGAAGACTTTTCGGTTGCTATTCATCTGGCCCAGTTGTGCTGAAATTTTTAGCGTATCCACTTTTTTGATTTATGTATGTATGTCAGCGATGGGCAGAATTTTATTTACTAAATATGTATCGAGTATGATAGTGTTAACTTATTGTCACAGTACTAAATACTAAGTATTTAGTTAGTTTCACCTAATGAAACACCAAGTACAAAAGTACTTAAGTAGAGACTTTGGATTTACTTACCACAGCGTGCAAAAAATACAAAAGGACTTAGTACTTACGATTTGATGCTAAATACACTACTAATATAAAAAAAGAATTTCGTCGCTTCAGGACTATTTGAGGTCTATTGCGACTACTTCGCGATTTACGGAACTATTTTAGGATTGTCGGAGCATTACAATACTATTTCGGAATTTTCCATGTGTGATTTTTCTGAAATTTTTTTCTCGCCCCGTTCTCCAGATATTTGGAAAACTATTAAGTTCGATTTGTTTTTGTTTTTGTGCTGTAAAGTTTTTAAAAATGTATTAATCAAGCTAAAATTTCATATTTATTTATTATTTATGTTTATGCATCAACCCTAAAAATTTGAAACAAATCAAACAGCATGAAATGTAAACCCTGTCCGTTTTGGTATAGAACGCCCCATAGTTACTAAGTGCATATTTGGGTATTTAGTACCCAAACTGGATACTTTAAAAACGAAAGATACTTAAATATGCCCACCACTGTTGTATGTAACATACTCATGCATAAATTTTCGGAAAATCTGAAAAGCTTCCGCTAGCTAAGATCACTGGCGACAATTCCGAAAACTGACATTTATGAAACTGTCAGCTAAGGCAATCGTTCCATCAAATAGTAATGGCGAATAGCAGCGATGCCCTTCAAATGATGAAGGCAAAGAAATTAGCGAGGCGGAGATTCTCATCGAAGCTTCGTATGCAGGCGAGATAACTAAACGCAGCAACTGTGCTTAACGGACGTTGATAAGGCTTGTGTCTAAGCGAATATGACCGCTGACACGCTGAATGCAAAGGAAGAAAGTGGAACGAGTATATGTATTTAGGGCCAGTGACAGCAAACGCGTATTACACCCAACACTTTCTGATTAGCCTTCTCCTCCCTTAAAACAGCGATCAAACAACCGCGGTGTTAGAGGAAATCCGAGCAGCTGAATTGCGTGCGGAAAGTGTTGAGGCACAGAAATTGTTTGCCGTTGAAAACGCTTGGAAAGCAATAAACAACAAAGAGCATAAGGAAATTGACAATTTGCATACATATATTTTCTTAGCAATTACAACATTTTGCTGCTAGCAAATTTCCAATTAAGAAAAAAAAAACGTCTTTCAAAAACAGCAAATCGCGTTATTCACAGGTGAATTTGAAAAGCTGTTACCTTTCTCAAATACTTAGTGTGCCAAATAAGCTTGTTTGCAAATTCTCTTTGACAATGTTTTTTGCTCGCTGTCGCTTTACGTTCTATATTTTACTGGTATTTTGCACAACAGCCATACAAATGCTGCAAATGCATTTAAGAGATCTTTCACACTTTTATGTTTACACTAACTTCTTTTTTTGTGCATTTTGCATGTGGGAATGTGCTTACACATACATACACACGCTTGATTAAGCATTTCCGTTTCCTGTTTTGCTCTCGCGTTAGCGTTGTAAATCGCCTTTGTGGCGAAAATCGTCAAACAGTCTCACTGCTTTGAGGTATAAATCAGTGTTGCGACAAGGATTTTTTATTTGCAAAGAATGACCTAATAATATTAGGGTAGTTGGCTAGCATATTAATATGAGAGAATCACTTTTACTTTTAGTCTTATAGCTTACAGCGTGCCTGAAACTTAAAAAATAGAAGCTCCAATGGGAGAAAGTTCCGCGCCCCTGTTACTGGTATGCAGGCCGTCACTTGAATCTTACTGAATTTAAAATTAGTGAGCGACTTATCCTGTGATGCCATTCCACTTAACTAACACTTTAAATATTTCTTTTTTGAATAAACTTTTTGCAAATAATGCAAATGAAATGCCATATTTATAAATTCACTTTTTCATACAAATTTGAAATGAATACTTATTTAACTCTTTCCAGGTCCACCTACTACAGTTGAAGTTGATATAATGGTACGCAGTATGGGCCCCATTTCCGAAGTGGATATGGTAAGTCAATGCAAAAAGATTTTATACTCCTACTATAAACTCAAACAAAACCAAAATGTTTCCCACAAAAAAAATATTTATGTATATACAAACATACATACATATTTAAATGGCAGCAAGAACATCAATCATAAACAGGTCGACATTTGCATGTAAAGGCAATTTAATTTTCCAATTAATAACGCTAATTAGTTCTGTACTATGAAGGAAGGAGCGCCCACCTCCAGCATTTTCACACTTCAACAGCTTCTTCGCCGAACCAACAAATTGCGTGTAAACATTTCTTATTAATTATTTTACAAGTGTTTATTTGTGTTGAAAAGCCTAACAAATTTATTTACTCTTACCAGTTACACAAATCAAAACCAATTAAATTCAGCAAAAAAAAAACTACGAATGGATGGTAGGCAAAAACGCTTAGACGATAAGAGTCACGCGCAGACTGACTTCAATTTATTATTTGTTGATTTAGCAAACACTTACACTCTCACACCACGAATTCATACACATTTGCACACCTACAAACATACATTTGTAACCATACACATACATCCGTACACAGTATGTTATTCAATCAACGCGACGCCTTTTCATTTCCATTAAATTCTCTGTGGTAATTTAGCTTTGCCTGAAAGTAAGCATATTTATTTTCTTTTTTTTTTTGTATTCATTCATCTATTGGCAGACATATTCCATGGATTGCTATTTCCGTCAATCGTGGGTGGATAAACGTTTAGCCTTCAAGGGCGCACAGGATACATTGGCTTTGAGTGTTTCGATGTTGGCACGCATTTGGAAACCCGACACTTACTTCTATAATGGGAAACAAAGTTATCTACATACCATTACGACACCAAATAAATTTGTGCGCATCTATCAGAATGGCAGGGTGTTATATTCGAGCAGGTGAGAGATATTATAATTATTATCACATTTATGTTTTTAAGCATTATTTGGAAATTGGAAATTACATAGTTAGAATAAGCATTGAGAATGGATAATGATTTGCATTAAAATTTGCTGCTAAATATCAAAAACAAAGAGCATTTTGGGTAAGGCTTTTAATTGTCCTTTCTTTCAGCTATAATTCACATCCATCGACTGCCATTTTTTGAAAATAATCCATTTATGGTTGGTTGATTGGTAGAAGCATCGCCTGAGTACTTGCTCAGAACCCACTTAGCGCTGAGAGCACCATTTTGATACGCTTTCTCTGAGATCCCTAATTGTATCTGCTTTCATGATTCGTCAGCTTGGTCACACCGCTTGAATCTATTTATGTTAGAAATGGAGCATTTGGAGATCTCCCTAGTGTATCATACCTTATGCGTGACAATACTGGGCAGTGTTCGCATTTTTGGTACAATTGTACTTTTTTAATACAATTTTGTTTAAAATATACTTTCCTACTACGCAGTACTTTTTAATACAATGATGAATACCATAAGCATATAGCTCTGAAAATTCACTGCGGGAATTTTTTTTCTCTCTTTGTCTTCGCCTTCTCGTTTTTGCTTTGTATGTTTTGAAAAAAAGGTTTTCAACAAACCATATATATCATAGCACAAGGTGTGATATCAACCATCACATACCTTAAAATATGTGCATACACATTTATGTTAAATATGTACATAAACTTTCCCATGAATACCATCAATTCATTGGCCTTGAAGTAAATCTATGTATACATGTACTAAGGAAATACATGAACAAACAAAAAAGTCGATACAACTTACAGTTGAAAAGTACAGTTTTTGTATAGATTTCGTACTGAAGGAACAATTTCATTTCCCAACACTGATGCTGGGCACTCACGAATATAATGTTTGACCGTTGCAGCAACGGTACCCTTGGTTGTACGGAAGGTCAATTTCACCAATGGGCCAATATCCCGTTATCGTAGCTGTTAATCTGACTTTATCTTTCCTCGGCTTCTTTAAAAGTTCCTCCATCCTTGGGTTGTCATGATTCGGCCTATATTCCTAGCAGGTTTGAATGTTGTGCCATACATGGACATTGCAAGTGCAGTTCCCATTTGATGAGTCCGAGTAGACGGTTTATTTTCTCTACTTCCGATTCAGCGAAGAGATGTTCCGGCCTTAAATATCAAAATTTTTATTTTTAGAATATTGTAAAAATGTTGTTATTTCGATTTTTATTTTTTCGATAAAAAATAATCCTTTAATCTGGAATTTCATATTTTCGAAAAAATGCAATCGTTATTTTGTGATTTTGAATTTTTGTGTCAAATATAATTATTCAGTCTTCGAGCTTATTAAAATTAATTGATTGTAAAATTGAAATTATATATCCTGCGATCATTTATTGTATTCATATTTGGATTTAAAAAAGTTTATAATAACAACAAGAAGTAATCCAGCTTAATAAAATATTTTAGCATTTGGAAAAGCCAGTTTCAAACCACTAATTTGCTTTAGCAGACATCTTTGTAGCGCCTCCATTCGCTGCCAACACCTTTTCTGTAGTGCTCGCGCGTTCACCCGCTACGGCTGTCACTTTCGAAATCGCCTTATTAGCTGCGCACAGCCAAGACTTGCTTCTGCACTTCACTGTCAAGACCACGTACAGTCAGAGCTTCGTTGCTGCTTGGTTGATTGTTTTGCATCGCTTGGTACTTTCACTTCCACCGACAACTTCAACTTGGGCACTGAGAGCGCCTGTACGCAGAGGAGAATCCTTGAATATTTAAGTAGTAGCCACCAGCGGCGAAAAGCACTAAGGTCTTCATGTTGCTCGACTTATGTTGCTTTGCCTTAGTTATGTCTTCTGTCCTGACTTTGAACCTTTTTATACACAACTTCGCTGAACCTCTGCCTGGTTCGAATCGATTGGCTCGATAAAAATTAAATTAATTTGAATGTTATGGCAGTTTATAATGAGCATTCGTTTGACTAGTTAATATAGTCACAAGCCTATTTTCCAATGCTTCATCCTACATACATATGTAGCACCTAATAAAGTGACTCAAATCGGCGGCTGCATAATTTTCCTGTTAACAAATTCCCGTTCGTACCACTAAGTTCTATTTCCAGAAAGTATGTCAAGTTCCCAAGTAACACAAGCATTTGGACGTCTGGAACAATTTCATTAACAATGAATGCGCCGGCGCGACGTTTCCATATTCGTGAACTTGTTTGAAAAAAAAAAGTTCACTAACGAGTTCGAAAAGAAGATGCAACACATTAACCAAATTAAGTAAGACGACGGGAAGATATGACGCATACGCTGCCAATGATAATGAGAAGCTTTTAGTAAATAAAAAAATCAATAGCTGTGACTCTCCGTTATTCGTGTGAACATGTACATATGTGATTGAAGAAAAAAAGGTGTGTGCTCAAATTTTGGAGTGATGCGTGTAAGAAAACTGCAATGCAATGAAGAGGTCGAAAGGAAGAAGTGAAAGTTTTTTTACCAGTCACGCTTTATTAAGTTAAGTTACAATTAAAAGGTGACCCAATTGCGCTAGTGATTATGTAAAAGTTTCACCAAAAGATTCGAAGTGAGTAAACTTTCATCAAAGTTTGTATATAAAAAGATTCAAAGTCAAAACAGAAGACATAACTAAACTAAACGTTAACCGAGAAACATGAAGACTCTAGTGATTTTCGCCACTGGTAAGTACTACCCAAGGATTCTTAATTATACCAAATTAACAAATACTCCTTGTAGCTATCCTCAGTGTACATGCGCTCGCCGTGCCCAAGCTGACTTCCACTTCATCCGAATCCAGCGAGGAGGAACACCGCGTCATTTTACCTGCTGGTGATAAACGTCCTGTCGGCTCAGCGGGCGTTGGTGCCGCTGCTAGTCCACCAGATTTAAAATCTGTCGAGGTTAAAGTGCCAAGCAATGCAAAGCCATCAACCAAGCAGCAGTTTATCTCCGAAGCTCTGAAGGCACCGGGCATAGGCAGTGAAGCCCAAAAACGAGCCTTAGTGCGTAATAGACGTCAATTGTCTGGTACAACCGCAGCAGGGAAAACGTCACCGGAAATTACAACGGTAGCCAGCGAAAGCGCAAGTAGTACAGTGAAGGCGGTGTCAGCAGTTGGAGGCGTGACAAAGGCACCTGCTTCGGCCGCAGCTACTGTTGGCACTAAGACAAATTAGTGACTTGAAACGTAGGATTTCAGAAGGATAAAAGCACGTATTTAGTATTGTATTTTCTATAAAATGTGTGATAATTTTTTTGTTACTACACATTACTCAATCTGTAATACTTTTGATTCTTTTTTTGGTTTTGTATTTGAAATAAAGATTCCAAAATTATCCTGAAAAATATGATTTTTTCCTTGAAAAAACTTGATAACCTTTCGCTTGTAAAAGGCTAGGGCTTCAATAATATTCCACTCCACTCCATGATTCCGTATAGAAAATATGCTACTTCATCAAATAATGTGGTATGTGGGATCTTTCTTATTATCCTGGTAAGTCAGAATGTGGACACAGTGGGTTCCTAGCTGCCCGGTCGGAAATTCTCTAGGCAAAGCCCTGAGCCCATCTAGAGCCTGGCTCGATTTCCGTAACTGAGATTTTTTCGACAGCGCCAAACAGCTTCTGGCAAGGAAATCCCTTCTACCGATAATCTATTCCGGCGCTTAATAGATTTTCTTTGCGATGTTCTCACCCAATAGTATCTGGACAAGGCCTAGCATACAAAAATTAATCAGAGATAATCACTTCTGGCACTGAACAGATTCTCTCAATAACGGTTATCTCTCGTAGTGCCTGGACCGGCACTACCACGCAATATCTTGACTTGGGTAGGTAGATAGATTTTATCTAGTACGTTCACGTTACGCCTTATAAGGGTAACCTTGACGGGCTTAGGATAGGTCGTCCTGAAACAAGTGTATCTTCTTAGAGACTGGACTGGTTCCAGAATAATAGTTTGAGATAACCACTTTTGGTGCTGGGAAGATTTTCTTATCTGATATACTTTTTAGCAGTGCCTGGACTAAAAAATCCTGTTGCTGGCAAGTTTTTTCTGGCAATGGTTTTCTTGATACCGCTATGAAAAGCTCTGGCAAGCGACAGCCATACATTAAAAAAAATATCAGGACACTGAGTATTTTCTCCGAAGCTAAACTTTCAGTACCAGAGGTTGTAGCAGGATGTAGCGAACAAGAACTGATCAGAGCTTTGCATCGATACATCAATGTTTTTGAAAACTGACTGCAGAAAAGAGAAGTGGCAAAAAAATGTAAATGGCTCTAAAAATTTCCATTAGAAACATAATTTCCTCAGTTACAGTAATTAATTTGAAGTTTTTACAATTTTTTTTTTGTAACATACATATTTTGCTGTGAAATAATATCTGGAAATTCCAAGCAAATCGATTCATCGATATATGCCCTTCGATGTATCAAATCAAAGAAATACATCGTTGTATTTTTGCCACTGACATGCCTACTAGCGCCTCGAAAGTTTTCCTTGTCGAATGCTAGACGGAAGAAAGCAAATCGGACCAGCGTCAGTCCCATTAGCGGCGATGCGGTAATTTAACCACCAAGTACGGATACTAACGTTCAAGCATAGTTTGGTTGTGGTCCGGAAATGGTATTCCCTTTGCGTAGGCGAAACCCTCGAAACCCCTTGTTTTCAATATCACAGAGTTGTTTATACTGTGCTGGACAAAAGGTTTTACATTTCTAAATTTGTAAGATGTAAGGCTGCCAAGTGCTTGCAATATTATTGTAACAAAAAAAAAACGTTTTTTTAAGATACTTTCGAAACTTTTATTTCAAATAAAATAATCAGTATTAAAAATTAGAAAAAAAAACAATAAAAAATAAACAATCAATAAGTTTAAAGAAGTCCTTCGCCATTCCTTCTAAATCCTATGTTTCAAGTCAATTATTTGCCTTACTGGCGACTGTTTAGCCTTGCGACCACAGCATGCGCCTTTGCAAGCCTTCCAGTCGCTGGCATCACCTTTTCTGCAGTACTCGTGGGTTCACCCGCTACAGTTGTAACATTCGTATTATTTTTATTGGCTGCGCTCGCAACAGGCGCCTGACGTCTATCACGCACGACCAAAACTTGTTTCTGCGCTTCAATGTCAATACCACGTGCGGTCAGAGCTTCGGAAATTAACTCCTGTTTGGTTGATGGTTTTGCATCGCTTGGTACTTTCACTTCGACCGATTTTAAATCAGGTGGACTACCACCGACTCCAACGCCTTCTAAGCTGACAGGACGTTTATCACCAGCAGGTAAAATGACGCGATATTCCTCCTCGCTGGATTCGGATGAAGTGGTGTTCAACTTGGGTACTGAGAGCGCTTGTACGCAGAGGAGAGCTGAAAGAAAAGTTTGTAAGGAATGTGGTTTCCTTATCTCCGAGAATCCTTGAATGAGTAGTACTCACCAGCGACGAAAATGACTAAGGTATTCATATTGCTCGATTTAAGTTTGACTTAGTTATGTCTCCTACACCGAAAATGAACCTTTTTATATGTGTACTTTGACTGAAACTCTAGTTGGTTGGGATTGATTGGCTCGTTAAAAAATAATATTAATTTGTATTTTGTGGAAATTAATAATGAGCTTGCGTATGACTAATGTAGTCACAAGCCCATTTTCCAATACTTTTCCATACATATACAGCCGCTAACAAAGTGACTCAAAGCGGCACGCGGCGGCTGCATAATTTTCCCGTTAACGAATTCCCAACTCCCGTTCGTGCCACTAAGTTCCGTTTCCTGAAAGTATGTATGTTAAGTACTCATGTAACGCAAACGTCTGGATGTCTGGACAATTTCAATAACATGCCGAATGTGCCGGCGCGACATTTCCATATTCATGAACTCGTTTAAAAAAAGGTGAACAACGAGTTCAAAAAAGAAGCTGCAGCACATTAACCAAATTAAGTAAGTTGATGGGAAGATATGACGCAAACGCAGCCAGTGATAATGAGACGCTTTGGAGTAAATAAAAAAATCAATAGCTGTGACTCTCAGTTATTTG